CTCATCTATGTAATATATATATATATATATATATATATATAATGTATGTATAGATGGCAACTGAGCGAGTTGAGGTTAATTGGATGGGTCAAAATGTGCTGAATTTTAACCAAATTTCAATTGTTTTATTTGTTTTTTTATAATTTTTTTAAGCTATCTTATAATTATTTTTTTTATGAATATATATTGATAAAATAAAAAATATTTTTCTTTTATTATTTTAAAAGGAATGTGCAACTTTAGAGATAAAAGAGAAAAGTGGCATCTAATAAAATACCAGATAAACATGAACCGACCAACTACTAAATGTATAATTGATAAAAAGTATGACAATTTTGAATTTATTGCTATCATGGGCTGCTAATTGGACTAATTATTTTAAAATCAAATGTCTTTTTTTTTTTAATTATTTTTTATAACCGTGGTGTTCAAGTCAATTTTCGCGCACTTTAACTAATTTTATGAGATATCTGCCACTTTCCATTAGCAATAGATATGGTAACTTTGTCCATCAAGGCTAGGATAGATGGAAAAGAATCACCCAGTATTTTTGTCTTGAAAATATTTTGATAAGATAAGATTTATTCGGGATCAAACTTTGATCGCCTGAGACTAAGTTGCTCGGAATCTCCATAAATGATGTCGCACTTGTGTCGGATCCTTCAAAAATACACTATATTTGGAGGATCCGACACGCACCCACCGACATTTCAAAAGAGTTCGAACAACATAGGCCTGAGATACTAAATGAGCGAGTCAATTATCAATCTATACTTAGACAGGTTTGGGCGAGTTATGATTTCATGAGCAAATTTTATCACCTTTTGATTTTGTGTTTTTTCATACAGCCCTGGAATCTGGTCTTCCTCTCCTAAATCCTTATAAAGATCAAAGTGCAAATTTTAGACATGGTGCAAATTTTGCAGTAGCAGGGGCTACTGCTTTATCAGCCCAAGTCATGACAGAGAAGAAGATTGTTCTGTCCTTCACAAATAGTTCATTAGATGTTCAACTTGATTGGATGTCTTCTCATTTCGAGACTACCTGCTCCCCCGGTAATACTTCCAATTAAGGAGTGATAACATCTGCGTACATTCTGCTCTGAATATGTTGTCGTTGTACTTCCGATTAAGGAAATAGTGTGATTCAATATCTACTTATTAACTAATTGACAATTTTCTAGTTTTTGCTTGCTAGATTGCCCAGTACAGTTAAAGAAGTCTCTTTTCCTAGTTGGACATATAGGAGGAAATGATATCATTTATGGCTTATCGCAAGGTAAAACCATGGAAGAGTTGCGAAGATTGGTTACAGATATTGTTCAGACCATCATTCATGGTGTTAAAGTGAGTTTTAATCTCTCTGTTTTCATGATTGTTATTTGTTACTTTCATTTGCCTGAAGTTTGTTTCATAACGATCGATTGTCACTACTTTTTAGAGAATCATTGGTTTTGGTGCTACTCGAATTATAGTTCCAGGGACTTTCCCAAAAGGTTGTGGTCCAGCTTCCCTAACGCAATTCATGACTAACGACTCATCTGCTTACGATGAGTACCATTGCTTGAAAGACTTGAATAATTTGGCGATTTTCTATAATGATCATTTGCAACAAGCCATTGATGAGATGAAGAAAGAGTATACAAACATTACACTCGTTTATGGCGACTACTACAATGCCTATATGTGGTTTCTACAAAATGCTGTTACTCTTGGTATGTGCTCAAAGCATCGTTTTATTTTCCTATTTTTGAGGTTAGAGTAAATGGAAACGCGAAGAAAGCTATATGTATTCACAAACTTTCTTATGTATTTTCAGGATTTGACAAAAACTCTCTACAGAAAGCATGTTGTGGAATAGGAGGAGACTATAATTACGACAAAAGTAGAAAATGTGGAGCTCAAGGAGTCCCAGTGTGTGATGACCCTAGTACTCACTTCAATTGGGATGGACTCCATTTGACACAAGCAGCATACAGTTGGTTAACAAGATGGTTAATTGATGACATGTTGCCCAAATTGAACTGTCACGTTTAAGTTCTTGGCGAAATGGATGAATCAGAAGGCGGATATTACTTAAATAACGTGACAAAAATAAGACATCCCATGAAATTTTACTTGATTCTAGGGTTCTATACCCTCGATTCACGTTGTAATTGCATATTTGTATAATGTCAATCTAAATCAAATGTCATTAATCTTATTTTGAGAAGTGAAAGATCATCCTCAAGTCTCAACTTAATTATAACTAGCTAGGTTAATGAGTAAATTTCATAAATGTACAATAAAGTAGTTTTATTTGTAACAAATATAGTCAAATTTTGATTTACATAAAAAATATTCCAAATTAGCAATGTATGTACATGCAACAAAAAATAGTTTCAACAAAATGACCATATGTATATATATATATTGATTTGTATAAATAGTGTATACTGATCATGTATAGACAATGTATAACTATACATTAGAGATGTATATATTTTACATACATCATTTATTACAATAAAGTATACATTGCAGAATATTTCAATTCCAACCAACTTAAATCTCCTCTAAACAATCTTAAAATGTGGATATAGGCTCCTCTAAATACTTCAAATCTTTTGATATATCATTCATTTAAATGGTTCACGTTTGCGGCACGTCCATATTTAAAGTCGAGCTCAGAAAAAGGAGGAGGAGAGAAAACAACAATATATATTATATCTTCACTTGCATGCCTACTTTTGGTAAAAAAATAAATAAATAATTTTGACCTGAACATT